CAGGGATCATGCTAAACATCCTATCATACACAGGATAGCCCCTCAAAGTTAATAGTGGAGGTTGAGAAACTTTGTCCTAGACTGCGAGCCCCTTGTAGGCAGTAACTGTGTTGTAGTCATCTTAATATCCCAAGGTCACAGGACTGGCTGACCCATAGAAGTTGAGCAAATGTTTACATGTAGGAGGAAATGGCAACACAAACATATATTTATGTATATAAAGAGCTCTTAAAACTCAACTATAAGGGGAGCCTGGGTGGCTCAGTCAGTTAAGCATCTGACTCTTGATTTTGGCCCTGGGCATGTCCTCAGGTTGTGGGATCAAGCCCCACAGAGGGCTCTGCACTGAAGGCAGAGTCTGCTTGAGATTCTCTCCTTCTCCCTCTGCCCCCACTTGCATGCTCTAAATAAGTAAATAAATAAAATATTTTTTAGAAAAACCTCAACCACAAAAAGACAACCCAACTAAAAAATGAGCAAGTGACTTTAAATAGACGTTTCTCCAAAGAAAATATACAAACAGCCAAAAAGCATACGAGAAGATGCTCAACATCCTTAGTCACTAGAGAACTGCAAATCAAAACCACAATGAGATACCACTTCACACCTGCTGGAATGGCGGTAATAGTAATAAGAATGATAAGTGGGAAATAACAAATGTTGGTAGAGATGTGGAAAAATTGGAACCCTCGCACGTTGCTAGTGGGAATGTAAAATGGTGTCATTTGGCAGTTCTACAAAAGGTTAAAGAATTACCAGATGACTGATCCTATGATCAAGTGGTTCACTCCTGGGTATATAGCCAAAAGAACTAAAACCAAAATTGTCTTTAAACCAAAACTTGTACATATATGTTCATAGCAGCAGAGAAGACCAGGTGTTGGAACACAGTTTTGGTTGATCCTCTAAGGATAACCCAAGAAGGGAGTCCTACTACTGCCCCTCCTCCCACTACTTTCCTTTTTTTTTTTCTTTCCATTATTATCCTGTCTTCCAAGGTGGGGAAATGAGATGCTGAGAGGTATAGTGGTCACGGTGTGAAGCCATCATGCTGGTAGGAGCCCAATTCAGCTGTCATCACTTTGACCCCAGAGCCCACTGGAATTCTAAGGAGCTCTCCAACGCCAGGGCAGAAGTTCAGCCTGGGGCGGGGAAGCCTCAGATTCATGTCTTGAGGCTCCCGAACTCTCAGCAAGTGCAGAGGCCTGAGTTTCAGCCGCTGGAATTGCTAGCGTGAGCACTTCCCCAGTGTGTGGTCCTCAGACCTCGCTTGTGCCCAGCAGGCTGACACTGGGGACAGTGACAGGGCTCCTCCTGTGGGCTGGAGTCCCTCAGCCATACCTCTTGGCAGAGTGACCTGGAGCAAGTCTGTCAACCTCTGTGTGCTGTGCTTTCCTCAATTTTAATGCATGGGAAGCTCGTTAGAGGATTCTTTTCTTTTTCTTCCCCCATGAATACATTCTTATATATATATAAGCCACTTTCATGCCCCTTGCTTGCCTGACTAATCATTCTCATATGCATTCACATATATTTTTTTATACTATAGATATTAATTCTGCAACTTTATTGTTTTCACTAAATATCTTGGAGAACTTTCCAGGTGAGGAATGTACATTGCCCTCATTTTTCTACAGTGACCACTCATTTCCCTGTGTGAACACATGGTAATGTAGCCCCTCCCTCTGTTGGTGTTGCAAAGTCCTGCAGCAGACATTCCTGTGTTCGCTGGCCTGCACGCATGAGTGCGGACTGCTATAGGAGAGTCCTAGAAGTGGGAGGGTAGTTGGAATTCTAGAAGAGACTAAAGGCTCCGGAACCAGGTTATTTCTGAAACTGTTGCTGGCATGACTGTTTCCTTGACCTCTAGCAGGGAAGGGGGTTATCCCTTTAGGCAAGCCATTTAACTCTGTGAGTCTTAGTCTGCTCAGCTGTAAAATGGGGAGGGCCAGAGCAATGCACACGGAGGTGCTCTGAAGGTGGCCAAGTCCTGTTTGATGTGAAGGATGGAGATTGTGGTTAAGGCTGAGAGGCTCAGTGGCTGGACATCCCCTACCCCCATCATGCAGAAGGCAGAACAAGGAGCTGGAGGAAGGGGAAGGATGCTGTGTTATGTCAAGACACATCAAGGATGTGTGTTAGGCCAGCAGTTCTCAGTTGGGGGTGTGTGTGTATGTGATTCCCCCGCCCCCCCCCCCCCCCCAGAATGTCTGCCAGTGCTTGGAGACAGTTTAGTTGGCATAGCTGGAGAGGCTTGTACTGGCATCTAGTAGGAAGAGGGGCAAGAATGTAGCTAAACACCCTCAGTGCACAAGACAGCCCTCGAGACAGAGAATTATTCTGACGCCAGGGTCAATACTGCTGAGAATAAGACGGCCCATTCTGCAGCTCTCAACTGATGCCCACCCCTCAACAAATCTCATTCAAAGATGAGGGAGGGGGACCTTCAAGAGGGAGTAACCTGCCCAAGGATCCCCAGCCAGCAGGAGGCTGGAGTCAACTCAAGGCTCCATCTGACTTTATGGTCTGCGGTCCTAAAAGCACAAAGGTTTTATGACTTTGCACTTGAAATCAGAATCATTGCTTCTACCCGTTTGTAGGAGAAGCTACCCACTTTATGGAGATTAACTCCTTTTATGGGATGAGGTTAATAATCTCCTCAAGAGCACACGCCAGAGTTGAAGATTTGGGCTCTAGACCCAGATAAGAAGGCTCCAGGGACCGATCTCTTAACCCTTATGCACTCCACTTCCCCCTCATGCTCTGAACTTTCACCTCAGCTCCTTGGACTTGGTTCCCTGTTCTAAATTGGAGCATGACAGCCAACCCTTCAGCTGGAGGCAGGGGGGAGCTCCCTCCTCAAGACCCATCCATCTGCAGGGACCCGGTCACTGCTGCCCAGCTGGGTGTTCTGGAGAGCCTGCTGCTGGTTTCAGCTCTGGTCCCATTCAGTGCCTCAGGAACAGAAATCATACCCTGAGCAGGGACAGGAGGGAAGGGGCCTGTCCAAAGTTCCTGGAACAATCCCAGATATCCAACTGAGGCTCCTGCAGTGGTCTCAGGCACCGGTATATTGCAACCCATCTTGTTTTTCATCCTGGGTCAATTTGGTTTTTGGCAAGCATCAGTTTGGTGGTGGGCTCAGTAAAAAGCTCCCATGGGGTGAGTGGTTAAGTGCAGACCCCCAGGAATGGATTCTTCAAGGTGGCCTATGTGGGGTGGGGGTGAGGGTAGGGTCCCCTCAGTGCCAGCTCTGCCCCTTCCTGGCTGCGTGGCATTCTCAGAGCCTCTGCACCTCCTCTGACAAGTGGAGAGGTCAGTACCGTCAGTCCCAGTTGTAAACGTGAGGACTGGAGCTTCCGTTCCAGACGCCAGCACCCCACAATCCCTGGAGAGACTGTGACCAGCTTTGCCACCCACTGGGCTAGATGACCTTGAGCAAGTGTCTTCCCCTTTTTGTGCCTCTGTTTGCTCAACTGTTAAATGAAGGGGCAGGATCTTTAATCTAGAAGCCCTTTGAGGTTTGGAGACACCAGACTTAACCTCTCCCCGGGGCTGACCTCTTTGGGCATCCCGGACACACATTTCTCCATACCCCATGTCCCGAGTACAGCTCTAAAGAGCAAGGCAAAGCTCCTTGTCTTTCTCTTTCCTGTCCTCCACCCTCGCCGGTTTCTGACCACCCCCCTCAAGTCACCAACATCCTGACCCTTAGCCCAGCAAAGCCAGCAGTATCTCCAGCCCGATGGATGGTTCCTGCAGCATCTACCTCCTCTGGCCAAGTGCCCAGGGATTCCACTGAGCAGTGCCCACTGGAGCTAAGGGGAAGGGGCAGCCCCAGGGAGCAAGCTGGACCCTCTCTGCGTTCTGACACTCTCTTCTCCAGAGGAGAACATCTTGAACACCAGCCCTTTGTGTGGGGGGTGGGGGTGAGGGTGGGGTCCCCAGTGGTCCTGCTGCCTCAGAGGTCATCTGCTGTCAGAGTTCAGAGGGTACTAGAAGGGTCCTTAGGCCCAGGATCCTGGCTTTAAGGGTTTCATTCTTAAACCTCCTGTGGTCTCATCTCTGGCCAGGGTGGGAGAGGAAAGGTGGGATGGGATTAGGTGGGGCAGTGAGGTGTGGGAGTATAGGCGGGGAAGGATGAGATTAGGGAGAGGCCAGCAGAGTGGGTGTAGGGTGTTAGTGAGAGGCTGTTGGCTTGAATGGGTTAGAGACATGGAGTGAGGTGGGCTACTTGGTCCAGATGGGCGGCCAGGCCCTTGTCCTATTGCTGAGTATGAAAGCCCCTGACCTTACATCTGTTGGAGGAAGAGGGTACCTCCCCAAAATGCTTTAATGTGGTGGTGTCTGAGGCAACCATACCTCTGTAAGGGGTGGAAGGGGGTCTTGGGCGGGGTGGGGGAGGGAGTCATTCATATCTGAAGGCAAATCCCAGAGTCCAGTTGCTGAGGGGAGGTACGCAGGGAGGTCCCTACTGGGTTTGAGGGTGACTCGCCGAGTCTCTGCCTTGAGATTTTCCTGTCGTAAGGACGGGCGTATCTCCCAGGACACCTGGGGGCTTTCATTTTCCATGGGAGGGAGGATACTGCTATCTAGGAGCTGAGAAGACCCTCATGATGGCGAAGCAGGGGTGGGAGAAGAGACCCAAACTTAGTTTCTGAGGGAGGCGGAAGGCGCATCTCCGAAGAGATGGGGGGGGGGGGCCCCCCGGCTACATCCGTGTGGAGGCTGGACTCCACTCTGGGAGGGTGCATTCCATTCCAGGGGTAAAACGGGGAGAGGAATCCTAGCTCTAGAGCCTGGGGCCAGGAGGAAAAGCCCATTTTTGGTGGGAAAGGAAGCTGTTTTGCTCTCTGGGAGGTGAGAGACCCTCTCGTTTTGGGAAGAGAGGGCCCCGATTCTGGGGGAACACGCCCCGGTCCTGCTCCCTGGGGGCACGGCCGCAGGACTGCATCTCGCGTGGACCGCCCGCCCCACGCGCCCCGGCGCCGGGCCCTTACCTGCAGGCCGGGGCTCCGATCCGCGGGCTCCGGTCCGCGGGCTCCGGTCCGCCGGCTCCGACCTGCGGCTCCTGCGCTCCGAGCTCCGGCGCGTCCAGCCTCTGCCCCGCTTCCCCCAGCGACTCGCGGGGCTTCCTGGCTCCCCGAGCCTCGCCGGCCAATCGGCGCTGCCGGCCCCGGCCCTCGCTCGCGCCGCAGCCAATGAGCGCGCCCGCCACGGGCCACCGCCCCCGGGGGGAGGGGGAGGGGGAGGGCAGGGCGGGGGCAGAGTCCGGCCTCCGGGGGCGGGCGGAGGAGCCGGGGGCCGGGAGGAGGGAGCGCGAGGGCCGGGGGCCGGGGTTGGGGCCGCGGAGGGGGCCGAGGCCCCCCGTCTGAGCGGGGGCGGAGGGCGCGTCTCTAAAAGGTTGGTTTCACCTAGACCTTAATTACCTCCTGCCCCCTTTCCCGGGTCCCGGGGGCTCCGGGTGCGCGTAGCTGCCCCACGTGCGCCCCGCGCCCTGGCTCTGGAACCCTAGATCCGGAGTCAGAGTCCGTGTGTGATGATGCCCTGCCCCTCTCCGCCCCCCGGGGTGGGCGTTCATGGCTCTCGCCCTCAGCCCTCCCAGCTGCCATTCATTTAACACCTCCTGGCCCACCAGCTCTGCAAGAGAAATAGCTTGTGCACGCTGGAGGCAATGCAAAGAGCACTGGACTAGGAGTCCATGGTTCTGTGTGCATCATCTACGGCGGGTCACCCCACCTACCGATCCTCACTTTCCTTAACAGCAAATAAAGACAACAGTCATAGTACCTCCTTCGTGGGGTAAGTGAGATGGTAGGTGTGATGGAGGTGATTTTATAAAACTTAAAATGTGGTGTGAAAGCTAGTTAATACTAAAGGGTGAATGTGTGATAGCCTAGTAGCTTTCTAAAGGTATTTGGAAAGAGGACACCTTCACTCAGTGGTAGTCAGAGATGCAGAAACTGCCCATCAGAATATGAGATCACCCAGAGCTCACAATGAATGGAAATTCCAGACCCTCAAAGGCCACGAAAGAACACAGCTTGCTTTTCCTTATTCATCTTGATCAGTAATTATTTCTTTAGTCTGCTGGTATCTTGCAGAAACCTGATACCCCCCTTGCTGCTTTCCAGGAATCCAGGCTGCCCTATCTCTGGTTGGGCAAGGACTGTGGTGCTAGAAATTAAGGAATTCAGACAAATAATGAACAAGCAAATAAACAAAATTTTAAGAATAGTCAAGAAAACCCTTACCTGCCCTCTAGTGTGACCTATGACCATAGGGACCAAAAGGAAACAATAATCATTCAAAGGAACAGATAGAAAAAGTGATTGATCCAAGATTCTGCTGAAATTAAGAGAGCTTTCCCAATCTTTGTGGTATGTTTATCCTGCCATCTTGCTTGCAGAGCTTTATGAAGCCTGGATTATAAATCTAGTAATTTTTTTCTTGGTCTAAGTCATACAGAGAAATGCTCTTTACTGCCTCAAACCCACCCAAAGACATGAAATGGTCAATAAATATAGGAGGGAATAAAGTTTGTCAAAGAAAGGCATGTTAAAGAGATGGAAAGAGTTCATCTACCAAAATTGCCTAATTTTTATGATCATAACTACAATTATTTGTGGGGGCTTCATGGACGTGGACAATTTCATGAATTGCTGAGAGGAGTACAAATGATCAAAGCCTTCCTGGAGAGAAACTGGGTATTCCTATTAAAAACATTTTCCAGAACAATGAATGGTGCAAAGGTTTAGTGATTAAGTTGGTTTAGTGTCATTTTGTTTATTGTATCAAAGAACTGGAAACAAATGTACAAACACAGAGACTCTAAAGGGACATCTGTTGCATGAACAGAATGCCTCTAGTAAAACATAAGTATTGAGTATTGAATGGTATGAAAATGTCATCTCAAAATATTAAGTGAACAAAGATATTCACCAAAAAAGTTTATTTGGTATCGTTCTGAATTTGTTAAATCTATGTAGATAGACCTAGATAGATCAGTGCTGTCCAACAGAACCTTGTCTGATGGCAGAAATGTTCTGTGTCTGTGCCATCCAGTATGGTAGCCACTAGCCATACCTAGGCATTGAAGACTTCACGTGTGCTAGTCAACTGAGAAACTGAAACTTAAATTTTATCTGAGTTTTGTTTCAAGTCAAATAGTCATATATAGCTACGGGCTATCACTTTGAAGGCACCAATACAGATAGATAGTGAGAGAGAGAGAGAGAAAGAGACAGATTTAAAAAAAAAAAAAAGCTCACTAGTATAGTTAGAGCTGTATATTAAAATTATACTGGTTAGATGATTCTACTTTTACTTTATTTATATATCACCAAGTTCTGATTATTCTATAACAAATATATATTGCTCCTATACTAAGCAAAAAAAATATTTAAAATGAAAAACAAAAAAGGAAAGCTTAACCACATGCAGCCTACCATGTGTTTTATATGTCCTGCAAGCTATGGTAGAAAGTGGGTTTTATATTTTAAATGGTAGGAAAAAATAAAAATAAGTGATATTTTCTTTCACATGAAAATAACAATGAAATTCAAATTTCACTGTGCATAAATAAAGTTTTATTAGCACACAGTGATATCACCCCCTCACTTGTGCATTGTCTATGGCTGTCTTTATGCCATTATGGCAGAGCTGAGTAGTTGTGGCAGAGACCACACAGCTTGCAAAGGCAAAAATATATACCACAAGGCCCCTTTTGGAAAAAGTCCAAGGCCTGGTCCAAGACCATCAGGGGGAACAAACATGAACAGCACCCACTGGGAGTTAGGCCCTGGTACTGGGCATTCAATAGTAGCTACATTGCTTCTGGTTAAGGAGGGGTGAGAGAGGGATATTAGCAGTCAGGTGCTTTGCAAGCTGATTCTCAAGTAGCTTCATTGTGACACTTGTGAAGAAAACTGTCAGCATGCTGGCAAGGCCTTTCTCACATTAGCTCCCCTTGCATTTTCCACAGTCCCAGTTCTCCTACGGGGCTGCTTGGGCCTGCAGGTGTTGCAGGGGATGCTGACAATGTTTTCCAGGGGCTGGCTTTGGCCCAGGATGGAGCTCCTTCCAGAAAAGCATTTCTGAGAAGGGAAATGAGGGCAATGGAATGTGAAGTTCTCAGGGTGCCAGCGGTTTGAGCAGGAAAGGCCCTTAGAGTTGGGCCACCCATTGTACAGAGGAGGCAACGGAGGCCCAGAGATGGGGATGAACTTGCCCAGAACCAGACTAGAATGTGTGCTCCTTATTTCTTAGGTCCATGCTTTCCACACTCCCAGCTCACAAAATAGTACATGGATATCATGGAGGGCTTTTGGGACTGGCTGGGGACTTGGTAGTGAATTGGATCCAATGATGACATTGGATGAGTCATTTATTCCCTCTCAGTCTGTATTCTCATTTTTGAACTGAACAATTAAAGTGTCCAGCACAACATCCACATGTAAAAGAATGAAGTTGGGCCCTTACCTCACACTGTACACAAAAATTAACTCATAATCAATCAAAGACCTATATATATATAAGACCTAAAACCATAAAACTCTCAGAAGGAAACACAGAGATCTGTAAATCTTCATGACTTAGGATTTGGCAATGGCTTCTTAAATAGGACACCAAAGCATAAGAAAAAAAAAAAGAAAAAACGGATAAATTGGAATTAATCAAACCAAAAGCTTTTGTGCATCAAAGGACATCATCAAGAGAGTGAGAAGACAATCCATAGAATGGGAGAAAACATCTGCAGATCACATATCAGAAAAGAATCTAGGGTCCAGAATATATAAAGAACTCTTACAACTGAACAACCAAAAGACAGACAACCCAATTCAAAAATGAGCAAAGGACTTGAATGGATATTTCTGTAAGGAAGACATACAGATGGCCAACCAGCACATAAAAAGATGCTCATCGTCATCGGTCATTAGGAACATGCCAATAAAAAAAAAAGGAACATTCCAATCAAAACCACCCCAAGATACCACCTCACACTCCCTGGTATGGTGGTAGTAACAAAATGGAAAAAATGAGTATTGGCAAGGATGTGGAGAAATTGGAACCCTCACACACTGCCAGTGGGAACATACAAATCAGCCACTGTGGAAAAGTCTGGCGGTTCCTCAAAAAGTTAAACATAAGTCACCATATGACCCAGCAATGCCACTCCTGGGTAGATATCCAAAAAAGTTGAAACCAGCTGTTTAAACAAAAACTTGTATATGAATGTTCATAGCTGCACTACTTACAGTGGCCCAGAAGTGGAAACAAGCCAAGTGTCCACCAGCTGATGAATGGACGGAGAAATTGCGGAAGGTCTGAACGGTGGAGTATTATTCAGTCATACAAGGGAATGGAGTACTGGTGCATGACATGTAGACGAACCCTGAAAACAAAAGACCATATGCTGTATGGATCCAGGATGAAATGTCCAGTATAGGTAAATCCAGAGACAGAAAGTGGATTAGTGGCTGGGGGTGGAAGAAAGGGAGGAATGGTAGTAGAAATGGGGTTTCCATTTGGGTTGATGACAGTGTTCTGGAACTAGACAGAGGTGATGGCTGCACAACACGGTGAATGTACTTAACACCACTGAACTGTTCACTGTAAAGTGGTAAATGCTGGGGCGCCTGAGTGGCTCAGTCGGTTGAGCATCCGACTTGATTTCAGCTTGGGTCATGATCTCCGGGTCGTGGGATTGAGCCCCTGTTGGGCTCTGCGCTCAGTGGGGAGTTTGCTTATCTCTTCTCTCTTTCTCTCTTTTCCTCTGCCCGTCCCCCCTGCTCACTCTCACTCTCAAATAAATAAATAAATCTTAAAAAAATAATGAATTGGTAAATGCTGTGTTACGTGTATTTTACTAGAACAAGAAAAACGTATCTAGCAGAGTAGGTCACCGTTTGGGGCAAATGACAGGAGTTCAGCTCGGCGCCTGGTGGATGTGCACACATTGGCAGCTGTTGTTATTACCAGCTTCCCCAAGTGACCCGCCCAATTGTGTGAGGTTGCCCAGAGCTTTCTCATTCACTCATTCAGTAATTTTTCTGTTCATTCAGTCAGCCAGTCAACAAAGACACAGTTAGCATCTACTCTGTGCCAGGTGCTGAGCTGTACTAGGGTTGGGGATTTGAGCCCTCCTCCATGGG